GAAGGCAGGATTGGAGGTTCTGAACTCAGGAATGGCTGTGGGCACCTAGAAGGTGCCCCCCATCTCCTCAGAAGGTCTTTTCAGTGACTCTCCTATGTACCTTTCACCAGAATAATCTGAGTTCATATAAAACTGCATCTGTGGGAACCGCAGCCATTCCAAAGCTGACTGGCCTGTGTTCTCCAATTTCAAATTCAAAGACACAGCAGAGAATAACATTTTTCCTTATTAAAGGGACCCAAGGGGCTCCAACTTAAGTAGTATCCTTCCTGCTAGAGAGTGAGTGAGATCTCACTCTTCTCTGGTTTCCTATAATAAAATTTTCTATTTGATACAATGCATACATATTATATAACCTGCATTTTGGAGAATTTTCATTATGGAAACAAATACAGCATGAGTAAATTTCTATTGCCAGATCACTCTGGTGATTACACCTATCTTAAAGAAACTGAAATCTGCTACTTTATGAGTCAGTGAAATGTCCACCAAATAGATGAAAACAATGATGTACATGTATTCTAAAACTTATTAAATAATCGGTCAATAATATATTGGTATTTTTCTTAAAAGTTCAGAAAGAAATCTTGGTTGCCTGGTTACACGCAGACCTAATATGGGAGTGTAAATACGTACACATCAGTCCACACATTCAAAATTTTCAACTCAACAATGAGTGAGCCCAAAATGAAAAAGAATTTGTGGCCAAGATATCATTGAATCCTGTCCAGCACCTGCTTTAGCATCAAATTCTGTTCATTTTCCATTTTCCAATCTAATAAGGATTTGAAGCTAAAGGGCTCTCGGTGTGAGCCTGGTGGCTCAGCCAGTAAAGAATTCGCCTGTAATGCAGGAGATGGAAGAAATGTGGGTTCAACCCCTGGGTCGGGAAGATCCCCTGGAAAAAGAAATGGCAACCCACTCCAGTATTCTTGCCTGGAGAATCCCATGGACAGAGGAGCCTGGTGGGCTCCATTCAGGGGTTGCAAAGAGTAGTACACGACTGAGCGACTAAGCACACACGCAAATGTGGGCCTAAGAAACAGATACGCTGAACATTTTTCACCACACTTAAGGTAACTTCATTAATTCAATCGTGTGTGTTAGTTGGTTAATGTGGACTCTTTAAGAGTTCATCAGTGCATGCTGTGGGTCAATGTTTTATCTCTAAACATATTGTGGCTCACTGCACTTCACTGAAATGAAAGGTCACAGGTTCCTTTCTGTATTCTGTATCATATGTGTAATGCATATAACACAGAAAACAAACTAAAACAAGGAGTGCAGTATTTTGTTGACTATATGTTTTCTTTTTCTCTTTAATGTTAGCTCGCTGTAGTTGTTGGAAACATGCATTTGCTACTTAATTCAAAGCACCCTGAGCACTCCTGATTTCTTAAAGCTAAATTTCCCAGATTTCCAGATTCAGGATGGCCTCAGGTAAGAATATTTTATCTTTATTTTTAAAATTTTATTACTTTTTTTGCCCACACTGTGTGGCATGCAGGAGCTTAGCTCTCCATTCAGGGATGCAACCTGTACCCCCTTGCATTGGGAGCAGAGTCTCAACCACAAGACCACCAGGGAAGTCCCAAGAACACTTTATCTCTAAATGATGCACTTACCCTATATGATCCAAAGATGATCAGCACAGAATTCATTAGTTATTCGCTAATAATTAATGTAATCCAATAATCCAAAAATTTTCATGCATCATTAAAAGGACACAAAAGTAATTTGCATGTGAATATATTCATTTCTTGCTCAAAAAAGGTATTTACAGAGTCCCCACCCAGCATAGGTCTCTAGCAAGAATAAAAGAATAAAAAAGGACTACAAGCTCAACTTGACAAATGATTCAATTATGTAATAAGATCACTATAATTTTATTGATTTCATCTTGAGAACAAAAATGATCAGTAGGGATTGATAAAAAAACCAAAGGAAAGTCATTTCACAGGGCTGTTACAGAGGTAATCCTGAGTAGTCTGAAAGGGTGAATTAGAATGACCTTCTACTTTAAGAGTTTCTAGGATGAACCTTCCTTGAATATTCCCATCCTTTTCATTCCAGAACTGTATGAAAAAGCAAAAAGATAGGACGCTGAAAGACAAACTCTCCAGATCAGTAGGTGCCCAATATGCTACTGGAGATCAGTGGAGAAATAGCTCCAGAAAGAATGAAGAGGTGGAGCCAAAGCAAAAACAACACTCAGTTGCGGATGTGACTTGTGATGAAAGTAAAGTCCGATGCTGTAAAGAGCAATATTGCATAGGAACCTGGAATGTTAGGTCCACGAATCAAGGCATATTGGAAGCGGTCAAACAGGAGATGGCAAGAGTGAACATCGACATTTTATGAATCAGTGAACTAAAATGGACTGGAATGGGTGAATTTAACTCAGATGAACAGTATACATACTACTGTGGGCAAGAATCCCTTAGAAGAAATGGAGTAGCCATCATAGTCAAGAAAAGAGTCCGAGATGCAGTACTTGGATGCAATCTCAAAAACGACAATGACCTCTGTTCGTTTCCAAGGCGAACCATTCAATATCACAGTAATCCAAGTCAATGCCCCGACCAGTAATGCCGAAGAAGCTGAAGCTGAACTGTTCTATGAAGACCTACAAGACCTAGAACTAACACCCAAAAAAGATGTCCTTTTCATTATAGGGGACTGGAATGCAAAAGTAGGAAGTCAAGAAATATCTGGAGTAACAGGCAAATTTGGCCTTGGGAGTGCAGAATGAAGCAGGGCAAAGGCTAATAAGAGTTTTGCCAAGAGAACGCACTAGTCATAGCAAACACCCTCTTCCAACAACACAAGAGAAGACTCCATACATGGACATCACCAGACAGTCAATACCGAAATCAGATAGATTACATTCTTTGCAGCCAAAGATGGAGAAGCTCTATTCAATCAGCAAAAACAAGACCTGGAGCTGACTGTGCCTCAGATGAACTCCTTACTGCCAAATTCAGACTTAAATTGAAGAAAGTAGGAAAACCCACTAGACCATTTTGGTATGACCTAAATCAAATCCCTTAGGATTACACAGTGGAAATGAGAAATAGATTCAAGGGATCAGATCTGATAGAGTGCCTGATGAACTATGGATGGAGGTTCATGACATTGTACAGGAGGCAGTGATCAAGACAATCCCCAAGAAAAAGAAATGCAAAAAGGCAAAATAGTTGTCTGAGGAGGGCTTACAAATAGCTGAGAAAAGAGAAGAGAAAGGCAAAGAAGAAAAGGAAAGATATACCCATTTGAATGCAGAGTTCCAAAGAATAGCGAGAGGTAAGAAAGCCTTCCTCAGTGATCAATGCAAAGAAATAGAGGAAAACAATAGAATGGGAAAGACTAGAGTTCTCTTCAAGAAAATTAGAAATACCAAGGGAATATTTCATGCAAAGATGGGCACAATAAAGCACAGAAATGGTATGGACCTAACAGAAGCAGAAGATATTAAGAAGAGGTGGCAAGAATACACAGAGGAACTGTACAAAAAAGATCTTCATGACCCAGATAATCACAATGGTGTGATCACTCACCTAGAATCAGACATCCTGGAATACAAAGTCAAGTGGGTCTTAGGAAGCATCACTCTGAACAAATCTAGTGGAGGTGATGGAATTTCAGTTGAGCTATTTCAAATCCTGAAAGACGGTGCTGTGAAAGTGCTATACTCAGTATGCCAGCAAATTTGGAAAACTCAGGAGTGGCCACAGGACTGGAAAAGGTCTGTTTTCATTGAAATCCCAAAGAAAGGCAATGCCAAAGAATGCTTAAACTACCCCACAATGGCACTCATCTCACACGCTAGCAAAGTAATGCTTAAAATTCTCCAAGCCAGGCTTCAACAGTACGTGAACCATGAACTTCCAGATGTTCAAGCTGATTTTAGAAAAGTCAGAGGAACCAGAGATCAAATTTCCAACATCTGCTGAATCATCAAAAAAGCAAGAGAGTTTCAGAAAAACATCTATTTCTGCTTTAGTGACTATGCCAAAGCCTTGGACTGTGTGGATCACAATAAACTGTGGAAAATTCTGAAAGAGATGGGAATACCAGACCACCTGACCTGCCTCTTGAGAAACCTATATGCAGGTGAGGAAGCAACAGTTAGAATTGGACATGGAACAACAGACTGGTTCCAAATAGGAAAAGGAGTACGTCAAGGCTGTATATTGTCACCCTGCTTATTTAACTTCTATGCAGAGTACATCATGAGAAATGCTGGTCTGGATGAAGCACAAACTGGAATCAAGACTGCTGGCAGAAATATCAATAACCTCAGATATGCAGATGACACCACACTTATGGCAGAAAGCAAAGAGGAACTAAAGAGCCTCTTGATGAAAGTGAAAGAGAAGAGTGAAGAAGTTGGCTTAAAACTCAACATTCAGAAAACTAAGATCATGGCATTTGGCTCCATTACTTCATGGCAAATAGATGAAGAAACAATGGAAACAGTGACAGACTATTTTTTGGAGCTCCAAAATCACTGCAGATGGTGACTGCAGCCATGAAATTAAAAGACGCTTGCTCCTTGGAAGAAAAGTTTTGATCAACCTAGATAGCATATTAAAAAGCAGAGACATTACTTTGCCAACAAATGTCTGTCTGGTCACAGCTATGGTATTTCCAGTAGTCATGTATGGATGTGAGAGTTGGACTATAAAGAAAGCTAAGTGCTGAAGAATTGATGCTTTGAATGTGGTGTTGGAGAAGATTCTTGAGAATCCCTTTGAAAAATAACTAGTCCATCCTAAACGAAATCAGTCCTGAATATTCATTGGAAGGACTGATATAGAAGCTGAAATTCCAAAACTCTGGCCACCAGATGAGAAGAACTGACTCATTCGAAAAGACCCTGATGCTGGGAAAGATTGAAGGCAGGAGGAGAAGGGGACGACAGAGGATGAGATGGTTGGATGGCATCACCGACTCAATGGACGTGAGTTTGAGTAAACTCTGGGAGTTGGTGATGGACAGGGAGGCCTGGTGTGCTGCAGTCCATGGGGTCACAAAGAGTTGGACGTGATTGAGCAACTGAACTGAACTCTCACTCCTGCTCATGCAGGCTTTAACTGATAATGACCAAGGTAAGAATTTGGGGTGTAAATTTTCATACTCGTTAGCCAAAATCAATCAATTGGAAAGATGATTCAACATCCACTGTTACACAGAATATTCAGAAATGATCACTGGGAGAAAAGCCCAGTGAACAATTTAGCATCCTCAAAAGTGAAGGGCTGGCACTGTGAAGCCTCAGTTGGAAAAACCACTGCTAGGAGCCCTGATCCAGTGCCAATTATTTATTTTTTAACCTGGACAGCTGAAATAGGTGGAGACTAAACTAGAAAAAGTCTTGAGAAGTATCTGTTTATGTTTTACTGTCAAGATCCCAGAATTTCAAATTTAAAAACATGACATTTAATCAATGGCAATCGAGTCTGACATTCAGGCTTGATTCTCAGATGAATTTCCCATAATTCTTAAGTCATTAATCTTGGTTGGTGAGCAACTCTTCTAACTTCCCCAGCTAATGGAGAAATCATGAACATTTACTACGAGTTACAGGAAACTTGCAAGTTGAAACATGAACATCTTCAGCAGAAATCTTCCCACTGAGATGTAAGCTTCAACTTAAGGCACTGATAATAAAGCGCATGTGGACAGTCAAGAATAACTCAGATCTTTCCAGAAATAGAAGACATTTCAAAAGCACCTATCTGACCTGCTTCAGCATCCGAGGGGACAAAGACCTGCTTCAGCATCCGAGGGGACAAAGAATGGGAAGGTTCACATGGCTGACTGGTTCAGCTCTTTTCCATTCTCCCAAACTTATTTACAGGTCTCAGGTTTCTACTTCTTCAAGGGGCAAAGGGGACAAGTATATGGAAAAACAAAAAGCAAATCTAGTTTGTAGCCTAGTCTCATGATCAATTAATTTCGTAACGACAGCATGGAGTGCTTGGACCTAAGATTTTTTAAATTACTTGAGTACTTTTTAAAAGTACTTAGACCCCAAACCCAGTGGTTGGAATTGTAACAAGGTGTTCTTTTCTATTGTTCTCAGGGGAAACTGTGTAAGGATAGTTAATTTTTCAAGACTTTATGAATGAAATTTGTTAACAGCAAATTCTAAAGGAAAAAATAATCTACTTGGAAAATTCCATTCCAGCAGGATTTTCCTACTCATTCCAATAAATTAAATTTTGCCATGAGAAAAGAATGCAATAAAAACAGGGTTCAAGTAAATTAGGTTAGGCGAACAAATACCAGCAAATGAGTGACTGTGGAGGTATGCAAGGTGGGACAGGATTTACCTAAAGGAAGCATGTTTCCTGTGCAAACAGACGTGTACACACACAGCTGTGCACTCACATGAATTTTTAAAGTGTGCATGTGGGGGAAGGCTCAACACCATCAAACACCAGCACAGAAATCTCATCTGTTTGCATTTCTACAAAGGAAAGGATCTAACACACGTTACACACCCACCGACACTCATGCATGAGGACCAGGGTGGCCTACTCAGGCTCAGATCCAGAGAAGCCTTCTAGAATTGCCGGTTTTAGAGGAATGATTAGTATCTTCGGGATCACACTTCCTTTTGATGAACAGAATTTTTATCTTGTGTTTCTTTCCTGAAATGCACCCTTTTCAACAGTATGAAACCAAGTCTGGGAGGAACTCATCTTAATTCCTCATTAGACATGACTCAGAACAGGAACTACAGGAATCAAAGTGGCAATAGCATGGCCCCTTTGGGAAGTTATTTCTGGATTTACTGAGAAGTGGCTTGAGATTAAAACAGTTTCTAGGCAAACAACAGAAAGCAGAATTCTGGGTGGAGGTGAAGATGGACACGCTCACTGAAAGTCCAGAAATCAATATAAACAAAAGCAATGAGCATAATTTAAAGGAGTTTCAATTAAGTATCACCTTGACTGAGTTTGTTGACTCAAGAAGTTCTGCTCTGACTCATGGAACTGAAAGAGAATAATTGATATAAATCTTCTCAGGAAGGCTCAGCTGGGAGTGATGTGGTGGGTATTGAGGGTAGGGTAGAGACAGAGGCCTGAGGCTCAGGCATGGCTCCTAAGGTTTCTGTTTGCCTGATTTCGAAGGAAAGGGAGCTAAAGCAAAAGGATCAGCAGCTGGCAGCTCCGTAGTCCTGGAGGAAAGGGATGTGATGGAAACGGAGCCAGCTATTGACTGCTTATTGGTTTGCGAAACAATTTTGTAGGCAGCGATGGGCTGGGCTTCTGGATTCGGCTCATCTTCGGGGCTATAGTGACGGGAATATTTGGATAAAGACTGGGGGCGGAATGGTTTGCCTGCCACGGGGCCTGAGACAGCTTCTTTCTGGGGCTGAGGTCCTTTGTTTCTGTCATTAGCATGGGCCCCAGATTCCAGGGAGGAGCCCCTGGAAGAGATGCTGTCAAGATGGTCTGCTGCTTGTACAGGGTGGGAGGGGAGGTTAGACGGCTGGGCAAAGCCAGCCATGGAATACTGAGCTCGGATGGACGGGTACACGGCTCGATCGAGGCCCGGGAGCAGAGGGATGTCATCGGTCTGACTCAGGAGACCGGGCTGCTCCTGGGCGGGGCTCTGGGCAACTGTTGACTCCTCCATGCCTTTCTTCTTGGTAAAGGGAGCTCTCAAGAACACATCCGTCTCCTCTGGCTGGGAAGGGGCCACGCTGCCCTTGGAGACAAAGGGGGCTTTGGCAAAAATGTCCATGTCATCAGCGGGAACCCGTGAGCTCCTGAAGGGGGCAGTGGCAAACACATCTGGCTCACCGAGTCCATCAGCAGTTGGCTGAGTGAGGGATCCAAACTGGTTCTTCCTCCCACCTTGCAAGACCTTGGCCTGCGCAGGAGTCACCTCTGGCTGAGTGAAGGGAGTGGCTCCTCCTAGCTTCCCCTGCGGAGGCTTGCCGCTCTCATCCTCTTCTTCTGACTCCAGGAGCAGAGGGCGAGAGCCACTGCAGTCCAGCATGTCGCCCTCGAGGTCGGTCCCCTCCTCTTCACTGCTGTGGAACGAGCTGTTGCTGGAAGGGCCATCTCGGGCCAAGTAGTCAGATTCTAAACTGTTCTGAGTTTTCGTGCCAGGTACCCGGGAGGGGTCCGGGTACAAGGGAAGGCCTTTAACACCCGTTGATTCTTTAAAGTGCTCTACAGCTATTACAGGAGAGGGAACTGGCTCTCTCTGGAGACCTAGAAAAGCACAAAATGCAGAATTAATGCACTGGTCCGTTCAATGCTCCTTGGAACACTCAATGGTCAACCCGCGGCAGGAACATTGTGGGACCAAATAATGGATGTTGAAAATGGAAAAAGGAAAAACAGAACAAGAAAAGTCAGGCAAGGAAACGGCACACAAATTGGAACACAACCAATCACGGTCTCACATTTCGGAACACGAGGAACAATGTGGAGGAAAGGAGATGAAGGTGTTAGGCACACAACATTCAGTGTCAACTACGCAATGCTCCTGCGCACGTGGGGCCAGGCACTGACACCCGCTCTACCTGACTGGCTCTGGATGGAATGAAAAACCCAGGCCCTCATTTCCACATCTACTGTAACAGTTCTGGCCGATGCAGAGATACCATCCGGGGACAAACACAGTTCAGATCTGACCTGTGGTCACCTGCTCCCCCCTGCCTGTGTCTGAGAACTGCACCTCCTCCCTTGAAAAAAAGCAGCAGAACATGGCTGCTTGATAAATATACAATTACTTGATGATTGACATCATACGCACTACTCAAAGAGTATAAGAGTGCCCCAAATATGAATGCTGAAGGCACTTTTCAAAGGGGAGGAGACATAATCAATATCACATTAAACAAATCACCTTCAGCTGGAGTTGCCCTGGAATTTTGCTTTCAGTCTTCCAAGTTAGCAAAGATCTCCTCTGCTTAAATGAATCCACCATAAGCTTCTTTTAAGCAAAAGGAGGAAAGTGCACAGGTAATTACAGAAGTATTTGCAAACTCTAATATGCTAATAGATTTCTATCTAGGTAGAGGTGCCTCAGGGTGCTCTGGCTTTCAAAATCAAACAGACAATTATCAGAATGTAAGAGAGCTTACCTTCCAAAAATATTAGCAGGTTAGAAGTATGTCATTGGGCACATGTTAGCAAGAGGGCAGGAAAAAGGCATATGTAACTAAGCAAGAAGAATCCAGAGAAAAGGGTGATTGGGGGCAGAGGTATCATGTTATCATGGGTTTCCCAACCCACCAGGGGAAGAAGTTACAGGTACCATGATTTGGATTCTATAGATGACTCAGAACCTCTGTACAGAGGTAATTCAATCATCCTCTCCCCACATTACCCTCTCCCCTTCTATGCAAACCATTAGGTAATAGAAACATCTGCTAACGATTTTCCCCTGCTAAAGTTTCTGCTTGAATTAAGCACACAGAACACAGCAGAAGCAGCATCAAAATCAATTTATTGGGAAACCAGTTACTCAGAAACATTACATTGTAAAGAGATGTAGAGAGCGATCTGAACATTTTAGGAGATATTGTACAAAAATACTATGTTTCTCTGAATCCTGTAATTTTTTTAGCAGTACTTATTTATTTTAGTGCTTCTTTTTAAACAGTTCTGACCTTAAGTATTATTTTTGGAAACAAATGTCCCCCCCGCCCCACCCCTTCTCTTTCTAAAACTGTGAATGTATTTGGTAAATTCCAATTTAGGGAGTCTTTAAGTTAAACTCTGTACTGGTGCCAAAAGACTTTCTGAATAGTTTTTGAAGAGGATAAATGTTTCCTATAACTGTAACTTTGATATGTGCACCTACATATTAGTCAGGGAACAGGAAATAAATGGAATACCTTCTCCCTTGCAATATATGTGGAGGGACATAACTCTGACTTCTCAAGCAAGCATACTGATATTAGATCTGTCACAGTGATCCCCAGATGATGGTATCTGGGAGGAAATTCAAAATGCAACAGGGCAGGGAAGTTTTCCAAAATAAGATCTGTTAAGCAAAGTGCTAGGAACCACCCCTTCCAAACTCCTTGAACCACTTTCTAACATAGTATCAGTTGGACAAAGTTTTTAGTTCTCAAAACTAAGGCATGGCGTCTCATCTCCGAAAACAACCCTAAGTGCTGATGCAGTTCTGTGGGAGAGCAATATATCTTAGGAAAGAACTGACACAGTTAGTCAAGCCAATGATGAACTCTGGCCACCATATGGACCAATAATGAAAATGAGTACTAGTTTGACTGGAGCTAGTTTTGGGGAAACTTTAATGGAATGCAGTCACATCAAACTGTAAGCACAAACCTCCAAAAAGCAGTTTGCTATAGAACATGGGGCGTCTTGAGTGCCTGCAGAATTAGATGACATTTTGAGAGCTGGAAGGTACCAAGTAGGGGTGCCCATGTCCAGAGTTGGAGAGGCTGGAAGGGCATTCTTAGCCTATATAAACTATTTATGTTAAAAAGCGAGTTCTTGGTCAAGTCAACTGTAAATCTGCTAACTTCGAGCATATTCTATGACTTTCATAGTGAATAATAGGAAAATCATACCTAAAGGTTGCAACAACTTTTAAAAAATGTACAGTCACAAAAATACTATAACATTAAGTCTGACAGGAGAACTAGTCTCCAGTTCTTCAAAACAAGACCAGATCTATTTGATCTCTGAGCATGAATCTGCTCTACAGGATTGGAAAAGTACATTTAAAGGATTCTCCTGAAAAGGCTAGATCTGTTAACCTTTCCATTCTTTTTAGAGGAGGTGCAGTATGACCAAGGCTGAGAGCAACTGCCCTTTGCAACTCTCCAAGCCCGGCATTCTGGAGACCAGAGACACGCGGTGGGTATGGGGTGCGCAGACATCCACATCCCCGCAGGGAATTTTGGTGGTGGCAGCACAAGAAACAAAGCAGTCAAGAGAAGGAGGAATTCTAAATAACTGTAAACAGAAGACAGACATTAAATCTTGTTGGCGGTTAGAGGGTTTCATTTTTTTTTCCTTAATATGAATGTGTTATTGTAGGAAGGGAAAGCAAGTGCTTCCAGGGTGAACAGTCCTTATATGTGAAGATAGCCTTGTACTGTGAGAAAAACATGTTGGAAGCCATCTGCCTATGAGCGATGAAAGATTTACACTAATTTAACCTCAGTGTCTTGGCCCATTTCCTTTGCAAACCAATGGCTATGCATAGCAGATGCCCTGTGACCATAAAACTCAAAAAGGTAGCCAGTTGTTCTTGTGGTGTGGGGTGATGGGGCGGGGTGGCTGAGCTAAACCCCAGGACCTCACAGGGTCAGGGTCTCCCTTATCAAGCATAAGAATCCTTCTTACCATGAAGTTTAAGGTGGGGCATTTTGTTCTAATTCTCTCAAATTAAGTCATGTCTCTCTCTCTCTCTTTTTTGGTTTAGCACATTAAATTAAGCAAGAAGTCAAAATACACTTCTTTTTCTTGCTTTGATGTAGGGACTATATGAGAGGTTAAGGTTCCAATGCTTCCACCAGGGATAACTCCATTTTAGTCTATTTTGAGGCTTCAAACTACATCAATTTCAGTAAAGAGCTTATATGCTTTGAAGGAAAGGCATACCCCCAAGTATCTGATGATTTTGCAAAGACTCTCACCAATTCCCTCTTAATTTCCCAAGCAACTCAAAGTGCTGAATGATTTAGAATAGGTTACCCCTGGGAATTTTATCTGATGGACACAGTGAAGGCCAGTGTTCCCTTAAAAAAGAAAAATCGAAATCTGAAGACCGCAATTTCAGGCTGGATCTTCCTGAGAGCCATATACCATAGGTGACCAGAATTTCACTTTCTCCCATACTATAAAGTGAAATAACAATTAGAAGAAGCATCAGAGACATACTTCTTGCCCTAAACTGGAAATGAAGACTTGAGAGTATTGGAAGACCTTCTTATTCAGTTAGTTAGCAAATAGCAAAATACATCCCTTCCCAAGAACTTCAGAAATGCAGCACCAAATGAAATCTACACTCTTTCAGAGTTGAATCAGGGAATCAGGAGAATGTACTTCAAAAGCATAATTTCCATGACCTTTTGCTTAGATAATAAGATCAAGCATTTGGTTCTACCATATGCTGTGGAGTTGCACTAAAACCCACGCCTGGGAGCCAACACTGGCTAGCGATGCTGTTTCTCTCAAGCCAATGGAGCAATTAAATGACAGAGATTTCTCCTTGGGCATAAAACTGCTGTTGCCAACACAAAATGTTTAATTAAATTGGCCTGGGTGCATCAAAGATTAAATTCAAGGATGGTAGCTGCAAATATGTGCTCCTTTTTACAACTCTACGTCTGGTCATATCAAATGCAGGCTCACAGGGGTTTTCATCTCCATGACCGCAGGTGAAGCCAGGGTAGCCAGGACTCATTACAACGTCCTCGGCACATCTCTCAGATGTGTCTGCACAGTACTCGTGCACAGGTGCTTACCGTCACTCAAGAATGTGTTTAAATCCTTTTTGTAAAAGTGGGTTTTCAGATCAGGAAAGAGCAGTTATTGTAGGTTATTTATAGCTCTGAACATCATGCTCCCCGTTGAACAGATAAAAGTCTTTATTTTTCTGTATGTTTACATAAGAAATTTGTTTACAGACTTGTTTTTTTATACAATACTTGCGTAGCAATGTTCTAATTTCACATTTTTTACTGTATAAGATAGCTTCGTGTACCTCTGTTTGCTTTGTCTTCTTGGGGAGGACAAGAAAAAAGTCTATGGTAAATACACATACACTTGACAAGGGGGGTGTGCAACAGGGCAGAGGAGACTCCCAGGGAAAGAGTGAACTGGGGCCACTACATCAGAGTGGGAACCAAGGCGACACCTTCCATTCTAGCAACACCACCAGTTGGTAATTCTGCATAGATCAGCTCTGACCCAGAACCTCTCTCCCTGATCATCATGAAAGGAAACCCAAGAGGAACAAAACAGTATCATGTTACAGTTACTTGAAATGGAGGCCATCTGGGATTCATTCTGACTCAAGAAATCCAAGCACATTCAGCTCCAGAAGCATTACTAGTGGGGAAAAGGAAAAGGCTAACTTTGTGTTGGTAAACTAGTCTCTTGAGAGGAATAAAAGATAGCTTTGTAATATCTGGAGTGTTTCAGCAAAGGTACCATGTTAAATATCCATCTAACAATTTCTCTATCTGGCAGCCTCTGATTAGCTGAATTCAATACTTTGG